CCCTTATATATTCTAGCTATTAATCCATTGTCAGAGAGGTAGCATGAAAAGCTTTTCTCCCAGTCTGGGAGTTGTCTTCACTTTGTTGAGTATTTCCTTTGCTGTGTAGAAGCTTTTTAGTTTTATGTGATCCCATTTATCCAATTTTGCTTTGGTTGCCTATGCTTTGGACATCTTCCAATTTTCCATAAATGTGATGCCTCAGTTCCATGGATTCAAGTGAATAGCGACTTGCCTCTATTCAGATATTCACTGAGCATCTTCTTGGCATAGGCTAGTTTTGCCTGATAAACTTGGAACTGAGGATGTCTAGAGCAGGTATTTCAACTTCTCCCTAATTTTGCCTGAGACTGGCACTGACATCTAAGTGCTCTCCTTTCAAAGAGAGCTTTAACACAGTCACCACCAGGCTGAGAAGTGGCACTTAGCTAACAGGCCCTTAAGAGTCTTTTCACCTGCCTGAACTTCAGTAGCTGACTGTGTTTTCTGCCTCTCTGCCCTTGGATCTGTTACCTTTCATTCACTTCTCTTTCAGTGTGTGGCTTTTACTTCATTTTTTAAACACTGTATATAAGGGTATGTTGAAGGAAAACTATACATATAAGAGAAACACTCCACCCAGTTAATCATGCTTCTTTGAAACAAAAGAATGTGTGCCAGTGTGGTTCAAAGTTGCAGGTGATACTACCAATTCAAAGTAGAATCAACAGAAATACAAAATTATAAGCCTGAATTTCTAATTGTTGTGAGTAAATCATCAAATGATATAAGGGTTTGATAACAGGGAAAATCAATTAGTAGTAACTCATTATCCTCTTTATACTTTAATTCTATTAGCTATTTCTTTAAATTCTGTTTTGAATTATAAACCACTGTTAGAAATGAATAAATTGAACTGATCTGCAAGTCTGTGTGAAGAAGCTGAATTTAACACCCCTTAAATTCTACTGTTCTTTATCAGAACTGGAAGCATAAATTACCTCGCATTTGGAAACGGAAATATAAAATGCAAGGAAAATTTAAAATTTTGACTCTGCAAAGATGGTGTGATATTGTAAAACTTGGGAATATTTAAATAAGTAAATAATTTATATGCACAATATAAAAATCAGCAAGTGGTCATTTTTGCCCAAAAATGTCCAGCCAATGATAATGCTTTTCAAGAGATCAAACAAACGTGCATGGTTTTTAAAAAGGAGGCGTCCTTGGCTCGGCGCCTGTGGCTCAAGGGGCCAAGGCACCAGCCACATACACCTAAGGTGGCCGGTTCGCATTCCCAGCCCAGGCCCGCCAAACAACAATGAAAGCTGCAACCAAAAAAATGGCCGGGCGTCGTGGCGGGCGCCTGTAGTCCCAGCTACTTGGGAGGCTAAGGCAGGAGACTCGCTAGAGCCCAGGAGTTGGAGGTTGCTGTGAGCTGTGATGCATAGCACTCTACCCAGGGGGAGAGCTTGAGGCTCTGTCTCAAAAAAAAAAAAAAAAATGATATTAATGCAGAGCAGCTTAAAATAGTGAAAACTGAAAACAAACTTTAAAGTGTCCAACAATAGGGAACTGGTCATGTTGAGATGCAGTTTAAGAGTATCTTAGTGCCAGAGATGTCCATATCTGGGTGGGGGAAAAAAGCTCCTAAAACAGCACATGGAGAACACATCCAGTTTTGTAGAGAATAATCTCCTAGCTCTGCAACAGGGAGGTAACTTCATTTCCCCAAAACAGTTTTCTCCTCAGTAAAATGGGATAATAAGAGTAGTTACCTCACAGAGTCGGAGCGGTGAGATCAAGGCCTGTTAGCTCTTTGTATCTCATGTGTACAGGGGTAAATAAAAAAAAAAAAATGATGAGTGGATATGATGTTAACTTATTCTCTCAGTGGCAGGATTATAGCTGATGTGTCTTACCTATACTTTTAAATTTCTATAAGTAACACATTACTTATGAGGAAAACGAATAAATTGGAACATTCACATGGTGATAATCCTCTTAAAAATCTCCCATAGTGCCTTGTCCATGGTAAATCTTTTTTTTTTTTT